TAATTTCAGGCAAAGCACCATTTGCCCGGAAATCACCGTGTCGAGGAGATAGAAGCAGAAGAACACAAAAGCAGCAGTCCAAAGCAGGGACTAAAGGCTAGATCATGGTTTTCACTCTGAAAGTCAAGTCCGAGCATGTGGATCATTTCCTGTGGCTCCCAGTGCAACGAGAAAAAGTATGTTCTTATAAGCTATTTTCACTTGTAATCTCTCCATGACAAGGTATACAGCTTCTATTTATCTTTGCATTAAACACCAAATGATGGTTGAAATAATCACTCAACAGTTAACAAAATGAAATTATTTTTTGATGTTGGTAGTGTTGCTATTTATTCAGAATGTTCGGGCAGTTGCGAAGCTGCAATGTTCCCAATACAATCCAGAAGGATATGGAACCATTCCCGCAACCTTCCTTAACTAAAATATGTGCTACGCCATTAACCAAACGCCGCAACCACTGAACCCTAAATTCCTGACAAGTTTTAAGCATCTCCTTCACCCCTTCAATGAGCAGCCATATCGCAGATAATCGCTAAATAGTTAGCAAAGGACCCGACGGGCGAGAAATAATGATTTCCACAAGGTGCACAATGATTTCCAGGAAGTGTCAATTTTTCTTTCAAAGTTGCGACAGATCTTCACAATTTTTTATAATTCAGACGCATTCAGAGTCCCGCAGATGCACTTTCGAGTACCCAGTCACCATGTCACATAATCATGTATAAATCAGAGTAGCAAATTATTCTTTCATCACAGCTCATCTCACATATTTAAGGACATTGCACAGTACATAAATTCAATATTTGTTTCAAACAATTGAAGCACTTGTAGTTCATTCGGTTCACCGAAGACAAGGCCACAGTACCACAGAAAAGCAGAGCATTTCAACAGCAAAAGGACTCCGATGGTGCGCAGAGACCTTGGCCAACCGAAATAAATGTCTGGCTAACATTTGGTGTTACAGGTTTTGCAGAAGAAAACAGCAACAAAAATTGAGAGCATCCTGCTGTCTGTTATTGAGATGGAACAAAGTGGGATTCTAATAAACATAATCAATCAACACAGATGGAATCGACCAGCTTGTCAGTTTCCTCGCTGAGTTCCACGTTTTCAATCTTCAGACGGTGCCGCATCCCAGGGAACTTCTTCCCAGCCGCCGCGTACGTCCGTACCAGCGGCTCAAACGCCACCGTCCCCAGATCTTTCTGCACCTTCTTTAGCACCTCGACGAAACTCTCAGCGCCGTCCACGTCTTTCTTCTTCTCAAAGTAGCCCATCAAGGTCTCGGTCACGTCATGTGGCGGCACCCAGATCCTGCCGCTGCTGTGCCCCTTCTTGATTGCACGGTCGGCGCACCAATGGGCATTCTTCAGATCCCCTACCTTGAGATAGTGCTCCATGAAAATCTCCCACGTCTTCGCGTTAAGCCTTCCTCCACGCATCTTGGCACGCTTCTTGAGAGCAATGGCCTTGTCAAGCATACCCTCTGTGACGTATGCTTTCATCAGAGCATTTGCAACCCGGATGTCGTATTTAGGACGTTTCAGGTCAAGCTCCTCTGTTTCCTTATCCTCTGCTTCCTTAACATCAGAATCATTATTAGATGCCTCGGTTGAAGCTTCTTCTTCCAACTTAGAAGTTTTAGTTGTCACAGCATCAGTTGCTTTAGTCTTAGGTGGACGGATGAACCGGGCTTCCCACTCTTTGAAACAGGCCTCAGCAGCAGGCAGATCCTTCAAGTTCGCAAGAACCTGAATCATGTTAAGATAGCTCATGTTTGCCTTCCTAGGATTATTCCGCTTCAGTGACCGCCAAACACGATGAACTTCCACTAAATTTTGTGTTCGCCCATACAGTGTAATGAGGAACTGGTAGGCTTCAAGATCATTGCTAGTGTTGCGCTTCTCTAGCTCCTTAAGAGCGGTTTCTGCCTTCTCAGACAGTCCAGCATCAACGTATATGGAAGCCAGGTTACTGTATGTTGTCCAATCAGGAGCAACACGGCCATCCCTTGTCATCTCTTCGATCACCCTCTCGACCCCTGATATGTCCTGACGAGCTGCAAGTGACCTCATCCAGACATTATAAGTATAGACATCTGGTAGAACATCATCAGCCTTCATGTCCTGGATGATGCTGGGCACCATTTCAGGTTTGTTGACCTTAGTGTATAGTGTCATTAAGCTGTTGTAGGACATGGCAGTGAAAGCAAAGTTGAGCTCCTTCATTTTCTCCATAAGGGACTCAGCCTTCTCAGTCATTAACTCCTTGCAGTAACAGTTGAGAAGAGCGCCATATGTGAGATGTGTTTTAGAAGTTTCTGGGAGGTCCATGAAGTACTTCTCGGCAGCAGCGATGCCTCTGGATTTGGCAACAAGATCCAAGCGGATTGCTTGATCACCGACTGTAGGATTCATGCCTCTTCTAGTCATAACTTCAGTAAGCTGCAGAAATAAACAATAGAAGGGGTAAAGGACCACCACAAGCAGATACGCAACATTCAAAATCATATAATAATCACCAAGTGGGCTAAGTGAGCGTCAATTAATATAGATCGGAGGAAGTATATGCATTTTCTGTACTGATTCACTTGGCACACCATCATAATAAACCAGGGCATAAATCTCCAAAAGAGAAAACTATTTTAAGCAAAGTTATTCACAAGAACTTGAGCAGTGAAAAGAAATATAGGTGACTTTACTAGTGCTGCTCCAGGTAAACTAAGAATGAAAACACAATGAACGCACATCAGTGTAAACTCTTTAATGTTCACATAGTAGTAACATGAATAAGAGGGACAATTGCAAACCAGTTCTATAAGTTCTGTTATGTTATGTAGCAGTGTAGATTGAGTGGACAATTACAGCTCCAGATAAACTGGTACTCCCTCCGTTCCTAAATATAAGTCTTTCTAGAGATCCTAATAGGGACTACATACGGATGTATGTAGACATAGTTTAGAGTGTAGAATCACTCATTTTGCTCCGTATGTAGTCCCTATTGAAATATCTAGAAAGACTTATATTTAGGAACGGAGGGAGTACAATTTAACAAGACAGAGAATTTCACAGTACATAATGTCACATATATGGTTTAACCTAAAAGAAAAAAAGCAGGCCAAAGAATAGAGAAGTCGTTTAAAACAATGCAGCGGAAACATTATCTACACTGTCTCGTACCAAAATTCAAACAAATGTAGTATTGCTAGAAAAGTCAGATGCCCAGTTAGACAGTTATCTAACTGAGAGGGTCCACTCTAGGTGCAAATAATGCAAGGAAAGATCATAGAAAGGTGCACACTGAGTATGGAAAAGCACATTTAAAAGCATTAGATCCAGAGAAGAGATTATTTACAAAGCAAACATGGCGACAAACATCCGAAAAAATTGGTCAAAGTGTGCTCAGTGCCAATAAGTATGGAAACATTTAAAAACATAACAACTAACCTGTGAAAAGATACTAAGCAAACTCCGACAAAGATTGCTAAGATACTAAATATGAATACAAGCATAGCAACTTGCAATGATGCCAAGACATGGGCAGTAGATCACCTTGATTATTGACAACAACAGTCAACAGGTAACAGAGCATATGAGGCCATGCTTATTCAGAATGAGGCATCCAATAGAAAAAAAAAAGGAATGTGACAGTGCCAAGACAAAACCATAAGACTAAGAACCAAACTGTGTAAGAGAAACAGGCAGAGAGAAGCTAAAGGTAATTCATAAAACCGCAGATGAAGCGTTATCAATGCAGTGTAGCATACAGATGAACAGGTCAGCTGTAACACAGAAATGACAGGCTTTCAGCAGAAATGGAGTAAATCTATGGACAATTAACTATCTGAACCAACCAAAGTGTGCGATCCAACAGTTGCTGTATCCCAGCAGCCTACACTGCATTCACCTAACCAGAACAGGGCATGACTTGAAAAAGAAAACTCATATGTATCCCACACCACTCAGCACTGCATTCCACAACTGAACCACTACTAACAAACCTGTCCTGTTAGCATGAACAACACTGGACAGAGGGAGAACATAAATGGAGGACACCTAGAGGGGCAGTTCCATTTCAATGTTTCAACACTTACCCTTGTTTCACACAGCAATTTGACGGCATCGTTACACTAGCACATGACTAAAAAAAAACCCCACAACGACCTCCATATCTAGAGAGCAAGCATACAACACGGATAATTATCAAATTAAGCATTCCAGAGGGCCAAACAAGCCGATGATTTTGCGGCCTACGAAGCAAATTTGCAATACAAATCTCGATCTTTGCATGACAAGTAACCCATGGCACACTGCCGCACCAGTAAGCAGCACCTCACATGGTGTATTCCCCGCCGTCAGATCTAGTCTGCCGCAACAGCGGAGGGCATCACGGTACAGAGCAGGAACCGAGGCTAGCGACGAGATCGGGAGGGGGGGAGGAGGGGGCCGGACCTTGAGGGCGGGGCGGTAGAGCTCCTGCCGGCGGAGGCGGCGGACGCAGACGGCGACCTCCCACTTGAAGGCGCGCTTGCGGCTGCCGAGGAAGCCGTCCACCTCCTCGCGCACCGCCTGCGGCGTCGACCCCCGCCGGAACAGCCGCCGGTAGAGCGCCTCCTCCACGTACTTCTTCGGCGACCGCCGCGCCAGGTCCTTCGCCCTCGTCGCCGTCGCCGTCGCCATCGCCGCCGCCTCTCCTCGCCGCTCGCCGGGGGTTTCTGAGGGTTTTGGCGGCGCCAGGCGGCCCTCCCCTCCCTCCACTAGCCACCACCATCCGGGCTCGTTGGGCCTGGGCTTCCCTAGCCCGTCACAGCTCCGGGCCCGTTGGGCCTAGCTTCGGGCTCGTTGGGCCGGGAGTGAGCTTCGAGTGGTACAAGAAGAAGGCGTTGGGTTCTCTCGGCGGTGACCCAGGGGCAAAAGGGGAATTTTGGGAGAAAGAAAGGAGCAGCGGGGGGAGAGGAGAGGGAGCGGAGAGGTCGCCGGCGACCGGGGGCGGGGGCGGGGATGAGCCGGAAGGAGGCGGAGGCGGGGGGAGGGGAGGGGTCGTCGTCGCGGGCGGAGGGGGGCGGGGAGCTGGCGGAGGCGCTGGCGGAGGCGCTGGCGCGGCGGCGGCTGTACCGGGAGGTGACGCTGGCGCTGCGGGCCGGGCTGCGCGACGCCGGGGCCGACTTCTCCTTCCTCCGCGCGCGGGGGCTCCGCGGCCTGCTCGGCTTCCTCCGCGCCACCGCCGCCGCGCCCGACGACTCGCAGCAGCAGCTGCTCCTCTTCCGCCACTCCCAGTCCATCCCCGATCTCCAAGGTGATTTCTTTTAGCCACGGTCGATCTCCCCGCCCATTTCGGTGATGCGATCCACCCAACGCTATATAGAGAAGAACACACTGGATACTGGGGCCTGGTGATGGAATCAACGCAACGCAACGCGATGATCAGTGGGTGTTTGGATGGGATCAATGGGGGAAATGCTAACTATCTTATGCCTGTCTCTAGTAGCAATGGCTAAAATTCAGTAACCAGTAGGAGCATTGGGGAACATCTGTTGGAAAGTACACGCGGTTATTTTGTCGGCGCGCTGTTTTGTGGGAGCAGTTTCTTTGAATATGCTGTTCAGTATTAGGTGATAAATGTCCTGACCAGCTCCATCATCTGTCATTCGTGCTATTCAGCCTCATCGGCGCGTGCTATATTAGGCTTTGCTTGTTATAAATGGAAAATTAATCTTGCTGATACGGATGCATGACTGCAAGTGGGGTTTTATACCCCACAACCCTCATAGTGTTGCAGCTCTCAGCCTCAGCTTGGAATACCATAAATGAACCGCGAATTTTGATACAACCAGGACTGGACTCCCTTGTCTGTAAATCAATTAGTCTGGTGTTGGATTTCTTGGAGTCGAATGATCATTAGGGTCTAATATAGCTCGCCGTGAGATTCCAAAGAAAACTACCAAGTCTTTTTTGTCCCTTACTTGGTTCTTTTAGCGTGTACAGTGTCATCACTCAGTATTATTAAGATACACATTTATTTGGCTGAAATGTATGTGTGCACCTGAGTAAGGAGCGATGTTGACACGTTTATGTTCTGTCACAGTTATTCCAGTTCTCTTTCAGAATTCATTGCATCAACCAAAGGATACCGTTGCGACACTGGATCATATATTTGGAGTCGAACCAACGAAGATTACGAGCCCCTCAACAGATTCCGAAATTGCTCTAGCTCTTCGAGTTTTGGAAGGTTGCTGCCTTTTGTATAGCAGATGCACTGCTCTGGCCCACAAGTACAAGGCTGTGCAGGTATCCGCCGCTCATTTGTTTTTTTTAGCACTATTTGTTCTTGGGTCTTCTTAATGCAGTTAATGACACTTCAGTTGGTGTAGGTACTGCTGAATATATTAGCCAGCCGAGGTCCAACTGAGCAAGGGGTGTGCTTAGATGCTCTCATATCATTGATGTTGGATTCACCTTCGAATCAGATTGTACGCTTTACCTCCTTCCTGAATCTCTTACGGTTGTCTTAAATTTTGTGTAGAAGAAAGAAGTTCCAAATATAAGCTAGCAGATAGCTCTGGCATGGTTGAAATGCCTAAATCTTTGATGGTTTGTCTTTCAAGATATGTTTTGTTATTCCTGAGTATTAAATTTCATCCCAGAACATGATTAATAGTTGGTGTGAGAAGTCGCCGGTTAAATAAATTATTGGGCTTGGTTGATTCTGGTCACTGCGGTTATTTTTGTTTTTTTAGCTGGTCTGTACCTTATATAGCTGCTTCCTTCTACAGGACTTTGAGGAATACAGTGGACTTGAAAAGGTTGCTGAGCTTTTGAAGGATGTTCAAGTGGAAGAACACATAAGGCAAGTATAAATCCTGAAGTGTTCTTATTTCAACTCTGAATGCTTGCCCAACAATTTGAACCGAAGTTATTGTCCCAGTCCCATGTAAACTGTAGCTACAAGATATGTCATTCATCTGATTGATCTGCCTACATCTCATCCGTAAATTGAAGAATTATGAACAAGCAAGATGTCTAGGTGTCCAAGTCTGGCTTAGTTACCGAAATGTCCACTACAAAGCTATCGTTGAAAAGTATCCGTTGCTGACCTCTACGTGTTCACTATTGTTATATTTTTGGGTGGCTAAGCGTGTACACAGTGAAAGCTTGAGTTGATCCAGTTCATTATTGTTATATTTTTGTGCAGCTTAATATTATGCTTTCCTAGTTTTGAATTTCCAATACAAAGCTCTGTCCACTCCAGCTCCTCCCTACTAGAAATGGTATCAACTGCATATTTGTTTCTCCAATTTGTTTAGTTGTTGCCCGATTGGCTAATTTTTTTCATTTGGCACTTCAATGCAGGTTGAAATGCGGGGAATTCCTACTGTTGCTCATCGGCCATGTTTATGTGAAGGAAAACACTCCCATACATGAACAGATGAGAAACCTACTCGGGGAGCAGTGCGCGTCGCTCATATGGGCAGCGAGCCGGTTTGGATCCACCCTCGACGCGGATCAGAGGCAGATGGCCCTGCAAATACAAGCGAGGAGAGTCGTTGAATCCTTGGAGCCCTACTAGGACAACCACACCAATGTGTTCCTGGCAATGGCTGCCTTGTCGCCGGTCTCAGTTGCATGCTTCATTATTTCCCAGTGAAAAGGGTGTATGTAGCCTTGCATCCTCCATTTTGCCGCTCATCGCAAAGCCTTTTGTCTTTCTTTTTCTGTGCAGAGCGATTCTTGAGTTTGCTGTTTGTGTAAGTTTGTCCGAGAATAAATTGTTTCATCTTTGTTTGTGAAGATGGTCCTATTTAGTTTTATCTGAAGACCATGTAATATATAGAGGAAATGAATTTGGGTTGAAACGGTTGAAACTGCCTTTCTGGTTCCATTTGAAGACCATGGGATGAAGGGAAAGATCTGATACATGAAGCTTCCATATTTCGCAAAAAAGGTCGCTGTGCCATTATCAATTTGGCCAGCATCGTCTACAGCCAAGAATAAAAACATCGTATGTTGCCTTAGCCTGATTGGTTCGACGGAATATAAAATGAGGATTTTTATGATCCTTAGAACTAGGCCTATTTTATTCTGGCATTATGAGGTTTTTTATAATTCTTAGAATGATGCATGCGTGGGTTGTTTGAATATAATGACTGCAATCCATAAAAAAATTCTAAATCAGATTGGATCCAAGATGACAACATGTCATTGTAATCCTATGGTTTTTTTTTTGTTCTAGTGAAATGGATCAAAGAAGCGCTAGTTTGCATCACTTCCGTGGATCTGTAACTCCTCCGAAATGCAGAGCACCAATGTGTCGTTTCTTTCCTTCAACATTTTTGAGTAACTAGAATTAGTTATAACTAGAATGTGGGGGGCGGTGGTCGGCTAGGGATTGTGTGGCGGAGAGGGGGGAACTGGACTGGGTATGAAGGGGGTGGGGGCATGCTGTCAGGCCGACGTGATGGACAGTCTTGGCAGACCCATTTCGCCCCTGTATGTGGATTAGATTTGGGGGAGACCGGAAAATCCGAACATATGCGCTAGGTTTCGAGGAGCCCGCTGGATGGTTGTTTTTGTGTCCGAACATGTCCAGACTGTCCAAGTGGACACACGGGGGCAAAATGGCTATGCCTTTGGAGATGTCATTAACACGGCAACCTCTATGCATGTTCATGTCAATATCACTCAAAAACACGTCAATTTTTCTCCCCTCACAACGTGCACTTTTTGAGTTTTGCTTCGCAAAGGGAAGGCCGGAAGGGTAGGGAGGGGAGGGTGGTAATCTTCACCACATCTTCATGACAACTTCAAATGAGGATTCGTGGCAACTTCTTGTAAATTCGCGTGGTTTTTTCTCTTTATATCGTGATGAATTACACAAGGTATGGAAAATTTTCATGTTCTCCCTTGGCAATTCCTAGCTGACCACATTGTTTACGTTACAATTAGTTGGATAGGGGCGGGGTAGGACAGACATAACCTAGGCCTAACCCGTGATGTTGGTGGAGACTGCGGAGGGGTGGAGGCCGACTTCCTGATCTGACCAGGGGGGCGCAATTTTTTGGCTTGTGGAGGAAGAACGTGTGGGAGGAGGTTTGGTAGTTACGGTTTTGGCACTTGCGTTCGCGGCTGAAAGAAACGTGATGCGTCACAACTCACGGTTGTGTGATGTCGCGCACTAATGATCGTCGCATAGAAGGGGCCTTCAACATGGATAATTTCGGTGGCTCACTTACACCGTAGCAAGTGTAGTCTCATTGCGCCATGGCCATACAGGGCCCGCAACCATGTTGTATTCGCATCCAAAATATACAGAGAAATGGCTACTAGGCACATCATACATTTATCTCATGTACTTGTCCAATGAGGAATTCCTTAAAAAAATCTTAGCCTTAAGATTCTTTGTCAATAATCGGGAAAATGTCTCTTCCATTCGCTATACATGCTTTCTAGAAACTGTCTGCTTGAGATGGTGTTAACGAACAAATTCTCGTTATTGAGGATATCGAGTTGAATACATTGATTAGAACTCGTCGTCGGATCAAGCTCAGCACCTAGTTCAGTACATCGTCCCAGGTGCAGGGCCGGCCCTGGGCCAGGGCAGCAGGGGCGACGGCCCGGGGCCCGGCCAAACTAGGGGCACCGACCCAGCACATTAAAAAGGATACGGCCATACAACGTAGGCCCAATATTGATACGAAACAAAAAGGCCAACGAGGCTCGTATATGATATGTCTAGGAGAAGCCCAAAAGCCTAATACGCAACTCACGTGATTGCGCGGCGCCGGATCCTAAGAAAAAACGTTATTACACGGCGCCGTGGCGGTTTGCTTGATCGCGTCTCCAATTTCTCCGATCCATTCCAGAGACCTATATACGCATGTGATATCAAGGCCGCAAGGCCCCATGGTGATTACTTTGTCTTCGCTTTTGCTTGAGAATGGAGCAGATCAGCACCGAGTTACTCCATCGCACTGGCTGCCGGCTTCTAGCACAGTAGGGCAAGGAACGGCAGAACAACCGAGGTATTTTTTGTGTGAATTGTTTTAATCCTCAATGTCAAGCTGGAGACTTTTGCTGCCTATTTAATCCAGTCTCCAGCATTCAGGTGTCGCCCTCGCTCCTTTTTTTTGGCAAACATGTTGCGTGAAAAACACTTGTCTAGCTGTGAGAAAAAAGACACTAAAGGAGCAGATAAATTAACTATCATTCATCTTGACACTAGCATTGATGATTTTTGAATACAAAAATGCACGAAGTCGTTTCTCATGATTACTAAAGGCATTTGTTTTTTGTTGTGCTATATAACTTGTTGATATTTGATCTAGAATATAAAAGTATAACATTGTTACCAAATATTATCCACCTGAATTTTTTTATCATTATTTATTATGGCTTTACAATATTTTTTCATATCAATATATTGAATCTAAAAACAAAACACTCCGACCACTGGGCCCATATATCGAGTTTACTTTAGGGCCTCTGAAACTTCTGGGCTGGCCCTGTCTAGGTGTCATAACCACGAGCAAACCTTGCCACCTAGAAAAGTTTGTCATTCAATGTCATAATATTCGGACTTTTTTCCAATTCATATTTAATTACAGCTTCTTCGTCAGTATTTTGTCGACACGGGGGACGAGTATTGTACAATTGTTTCTTAAAACTCGAAGTCGGATATCGTTTCTTGTAATAACTCAGTTGGTTATAACGTGTGGCTATTGGCTATAAGGTTTGAGATATCCTTCTACTATTTTATTAATTTGATGTTTATTATCATTTAATTATAAATAAATCCAAATATTTTATCTAAATAGTTGAGGTGCCCAAATTTTTGAAATAGTCTCGTATACATATTTCAGATATAATATTTTATGTTATGTTTAATCAAAGTTTCTCTAAAACGGGTAATTGCCATAGTCTGTGATTTCATCTTAGAGATAAAAAATATTTTTCATGACATTTTTCACTTAACTTACTACAATGATTTGGCATGGAAAGGTGTGGGATTCTTACATATTACCCTTTTTATATATTGTTACATACTGCCTTAAGTAGATTACTTTTCTTTGTTATTTATTTTATCAACAACTATTCAGCTACCAGATTCTCATAGCATCAACCATCTTTATTTATATTTGTTCACCCCTGGATATGTGTGGTGAGCATTGTTTTCCGAGATATGCTTATGAGTTTTATCGTGTATTGTTCACCGGCCCACTGGTCGCTTCATAGGGCAACACACGACACCTACACACTCTATGAAGAAACTTCTAGTGCATGACATTGCAATCCGGCCCCACGGGTGTTGGTGTGTGCTTGTTGATGGGTCACAAATCTCGAGTTGGTTTTTTGTATAAAGTTTGTGCAGAAGTTTTGTTTTGATCTAGTATGAGCATTCATGAGAGCATTTCTACCCATTTCACTAAAACTAAGGATAACATTTGAATGGACGGGGAGTTTTCAAATATACCCCACTCGAATCCAAGAACTGACATTGTACATAATGTGCATGTTGTTGGCATAGCATATTCTTTACACGATACGGACCTGAGGCCTTGGTTTTGTACCATTCTTACCAACTCAATCTTAGGAGTTAGATAGCTAGGGACTTTGTATGTTGCGTTCACATGTACCGAACAAGTGACATGTACTAGTTTCCCTAGCAGAAGAAGTTAGGGGACTTTATATCGTCGATTTCCTTTGTGCATGGTATGCCAGGTGACATGATCTTATGTCAGTCCTTATCGACGACCATTTTGTAGCGGCATTATCTGAACATTGTTACTCTCCTGTCATTATGTGTGGAGAAGTAGTGAAGATTGTTTTCTGGGTACATATCATTTATTAGTTGCCGCCACTATCTGGGTGGTGGATGTTGGGCCTATGATAGGACATTGATATAAGTTGCTACAATTATTGAAAAAATTCTGCTTTCATATTAAAATAACTGGATACTCCAGCAGGCAAGCCGAATACGACACGAGAATCAATCCGATTTGATACTCTACTAGAAGTAAAAAAGCACACTTTACTGCGCTGAGAAATCATCATCATGATCCACATTAGCATGCTTTCAACACAAAATGGGCTGAAATATGGAAGAGTATCATCATTTAGGACGTAACATGAAGTGTAGAGAAGAAGGCAAGTCAACTGGAGGCGTAACGGGCTATCCAGAGCATAAGACGGCGCATACCCTGCACCTTCAGCACCAGGATGTATATCTAATCAACTTCTATAAAAGGGGTCACGCCAGAATCCCAACATGAGAGCCACCACTCGCGAAACAGAAAATCAAAAGGCATCTTCCAACCCTAGCCGCCGCAATTTTCCATTTCATCTCAATAGCCGCCGTCAGCTTCATCACCGCAACCATGCTCTTCTAGTCATACATGTAATCAGTGTATCACATCTGGTAACTATTATAGGACATATTATCAATCAA